ATTCTCCCGAATGGTTGGATATTAAAATCAAAACGTCGGTCTGTCTGTCTGTCAGTCCGTCCGTCCCGCTTTATACATATAGACAGTGATGGTCGTGTCCGCTCTGAAACTTCAAATTATAGTATATAGTAAAAACTTTAAAAAATCATCTTTTTTAAATTGACAAATGCTAGAGGTTAGATATTTTGCATGAAACATTGTGAAACGAACCTCTAGCAAGGTTGTTCAAATTATAGCCCAGGGGTCAAAATTGGCCCGCCCCATGGGTCATTGATTTTCAAGCACTATGTACATATAGTAAAAAATTAAAAATCTTATTGTCTGAAGGTACAAGGCTTAGAGCTTTGATGTTTGCTTTATAATAACAAACATAGGTCCTCTACCAAAGTTGTTAAAATTTTGCCCCTGGTGTTAAAATTGGCACTGCCCCGGGGCATTGATTTTATTATGTTCACATAGTAAAAACAGAAACTAAAACAAATGTTTTCTGAATTGGAGAACGCTACAGCTTAGATATTTGACATAAAATGTTGTTTGGGGACCTGTATCAAGATTGTTTGAATTCAACCCATGGGTCAAAATTTTGCATTGCCCAAGGGGACAGTGACCTACTTTCTTGACCTTTGATGTACAGCCATGAAATTTGGACTATGTGCACAGTTTTAGTTGTAAAATCAGGTGACCTAGATTTTGATGATGTGACCTACATGTACTTTCTTGTCCTTTGATGTGCAGCTATGAAATTTGAACCATATGCACAGATTAAGATGTAAAGTTAACTTTGATATCAGCTGGCCTAGATTTTGATAAAGTGTCTTACTGTGTTGTCCTTTGATGTACAGACATGGAATTTTGGCCATGTAAAATATGACCTTCACCACTAAATTCACTAGACTCAACCGCATTGATAGATTCCTACTCTGATCTTTTATTTGAATAGCAATATATTTAACCACTAATCTGATAAGAAGAATTAGAAAGGTCAGTGATCTATGCATTATGGCAATCTTCAAAAGAAACAAAAAAATTCTGTTCCTACATTACTATTAATTATACCCCCACACAACAAAGTTGTAAGGGGGTATACTGGAATCAGCTTGTCCGTCCGGGCGTCCGTCCGTCGGTTTTTCCTTGTCCGCCAAATAACTTGAGATTCCTTTGGCCCACAGTCTTCATATTTGGCATGGAGGTTATTCATGATTGGGAGATGACCCCTATTGATTTTGGGGTCAAAGGTCAAGGTCACAGGGGCCTTGACTTTAAAAGCTTGTCCACCCAATAACTTGAGATTCCCTTGGCCCACAGTCTTCATGTTTGGCATGGAGGTTAGTCATAATTAGTAGATGACCCCTATTGATTTTGAGGTCACTGGGTCAAAGGTCAAGGTTACAGGGACCTTGACTTAAAAAAACTTGTCCGCCAAATAACTTGAGATTCCTTTGAACCACAGTCTTCATATTTGGCATTGAGGTTAGTCATAATTAGTAGATGACCCCTATTGATTTTGAGGTCACTGGGTCAAAGGTCAAGGTCACAGGGACCTTGACTAAAAAAAAGCTTGTCCGCCCAATAATTTGAGATTCTTTTGACCCACAGTCTTCGTATTTGGCATGGAGGTTAGTCATGATTAGTAGATTACCCCTATTGATTTTGAGGTCACTGGGTCAAAGGTCAAGGTCACAGGGACCTTGACTAAAAAAGCTTGTCCGCCCAATAACTTGAGATTCCTTTGAAGTCTTCATATTTGAAGTCTTCATATTTGGCATGGAGGTTAGTCATGATTAGTAGATGACCCCTTTTGATTTTCAGATCACCGGTCAAAGGTCACAGGGATTTTACTATTAATAATAAGCGTGTCTGCTCAAATGCTTAAGAATACCTGTCCGCAGTGTATTGATTTTGACATTTTCACATTTGAAGCATGAAGAATACATAACTTAGCAATGCACTGGCTTAGTAAAGGGAGGTTGTCCTTGATCTCTAAATGGCCACTGTTGATTCTGACAAAGTGGTATGCGGGGGGTATTCACGCCATGACAGTGGCAGTTCTACTTTTCATAGCCAGATTCAACACGGTAATCATTCAATTTTAGTATTTTGATAACTGAAAACCCTGTAAATATTGATAGACACAACATACAATGTCCATCATTTATAAGCTAAAAATAAAGAAAACAACGCAAATTACGTTTGATTATAATATTTTAATCATAATGTAAAAAGATTTAAATTCCAAAAATTCTTCTATCTCTGTTCATCTATTTGCCTTCATCTGTGGAATCATCTGAAACAAAAAATAAATTAATTAATCCTAAGAAGTCTGTGATTGTTGTTCACACATAAATAAAATAAGTCATAAGGTTTCCAGTAAGAAATAGTTCATCAAATAGCAAATAATTATATACATTATCTCTCATAAAGAATAAAGTTTTGTTTTAAGGTAATATTTAGTAGTTACCTTGAATGAATGAATTCCACTTCTGCAATAAACAGACAGTATTCCAAATGACGATTCATCGTCATCGTCGTCAATGATTTCTTCAAGTTCATCAGGTTTAACCTCATCTTGTTTACTTTCGTTCTTCTCCATTGTCTCAAAATTATCAAAGAAGACTTTTTCGGATGTATCATCATGTTTGGCTGGCTTCATTTTGTGACTGTCCAAATCTTTTACGGCAGGATACTCGGTGTTCAAATGCGATGATGTGATCGCCACATTATCAAAGAAGACGTTTTCGACTGAATCAATGTGTTTGACTGGCTTTAATTTATAACTGTCCAAATCTGTTACGGCAGGATGTTTTGTATTCAAATACGATGATGTTGTAATTTTGTCCATTTCCATTGTTAAAAATTCATAGTTCAATGAAGTCGTAGCTGTCAGGGTTAGCAACGTGCTTATATGGTAATAACTTTTAGATTTGCGTTCATCTGTAAAGTTTGCTAGAGAGTGAGGTAAACGTGGCATTTCAGCTTCTCTGCCAAGATAAGAGTATAGGTGTAAAATATAAACCAAATATAGACAGTGTTCTTGGGCATGGAACTCTATTGTAACGCAAGGCAAGACTGAATATTCTTTTAAAGTCAGAAGCCTTGGATTTTCCGATGTCTGGTGTTACCGATTTATTTTTATTTTCTGTTTGAAGCTGCTGATTATTTATGAAGCCATCAGGTATATCGGACTTTTGTGTAGTTGGTTTAAACATATTTATTTAAGCTCGATTGCGAAACAAGTTCTTGCAACTTATATTAATCACTTTCGAGTCCGCTTCCTGGAACCAACCAGTACTGGTGTCATATGGAGAAACAAGGTCGTGACCCGAGTAGGGCTCGAACCCATGATCTCTGGGTTGAGAGGCAGACACCTTAACCACTAGGCCACCGCTCCCCTTCAGGAAATATAAAAAATAAAGTACTAGTGATAAGCCCTAGTAATAACAAAGATGACTGCAGCTTTATCTGTTATTTCTACCTGCATAAATTGTCATCTAACTTATCAAAAGATGAATATGAAATGAAACACCATCATTTAAGACTGGTATTAAATAATGTTTACCTTTATGCATTAATAAAGATGATATATCTCTCTTTTCTCACTGTATGATTAAGCTTGCTTGTCTCTCTTTAATGTCGCTTCTTGTGTCTATAGCGATAACGTTAATTTTTGACGTCATAATCTGTGACGTCGCTAACGTTAGGCAGCTTAGTAGATTGAGAAAAATAAAATAAATCAACCATGTTTTATAAAGAATCCCTTATTTAACGTCTTCATTGCTTTCAATTGAAGTATGCATTTCTGAAGTTGATTATCATTTTGAGCTACATTACCGAATAGTAATAGATGCTGTCAATGTCAGTTGAGGTTAAATATTTCTATAAGTTTCCGTCTTTGAAGGACAATGAAACCGGGGAAATTTGAGACATGCTATATTATGTGCAGTATTTTATGGAATGGTTATTGAAAGTTGGATACCATGATGTCCCTGGATCCTTCACCCGGCGAAATATTGTTAAAGCGATCACAAATCTTCAATACAGTAGTAATTGTCTTTTTTGGCTCATGCTACATAATTTATTGAAATATTTTGAAAATGTTCGCTAAAAATGCTACTTGCGAATATGTAAGTTTGAAAAACAAGAAAACTTAATGGTATTTTACACAAGAAGACTAAAAATAGTTGACATAAACTGGACCCATTTTGATGCATTTGTATAATTTATACCACTTTTGTAGAGGACAATAAGGTAATTCTACATTCGATAACATCGAAGCCCTGGGATTTCAGGATTTTAGAAGAATTTTAAGACATGTTTTTATATACAAGATAATTTTAATGTCTACTGTATTTGGCCCACTAATGCATCAGACTGGAGCAATTCATAATAAAAAAAAATGTTGCAGATGGCCACCAAGACTATTCCTGTAAAGTTTGGTCAAAATCAACCTTACAGTTCAGTTTAAAGAAATTGCGGCGATGACAAATAACAGACACAATGCCATCACAAAAGCTCATCTCCCAGTGCAGTGTTCTTCAGCAAGGCAAAAGTGAAATATAGCACAACTGGAAATAACAACTCAAAACTATTCTACTTTTTGTGTCACTCGGATATTTTCATAGAACATTAAAAAGTTTAAATTGATCAGTAAATTGCACCAGTACTTACTCATTATAGAAATTAAACATTTACCTTTGTCAAGTTGTTTCTATTTTAAATGGGATGGTTTCAGCCACATGGCCATTTCTCAGTGCTCAACAGTAAGAAAAGGAGCACAACTCTGTTAAAAGGTACCTCAAGAGCTATGGGACCTGTGCCCATGATCTTTCATGTCATATAATTACAGAGAACAAAGATGTGAAACTTCAACCAATTCCTTCCTCTAGATTTGTAGAGCATGTGCCCCCAAAATTTTGGAGGAAGTGTGATGCGGAAACCAAGTTTGGTCCAGTGAATAAATAAATATGATACAAGCAAAAAGAACTGGTAACAAACAAATATAACTATTTATTTCGATAGAAATTTATTTTCTTTTTACGTAGTTTTTTTTGACAATATAGATCTTTCCATTTTCAGCAACTAGTCATTTACATAAATTACTTTCATAGATTATGTTACGAGAACATACTATAGAATGGTATTTCATAACTTAATAAAAATACTTTATTAACTTTAAGTCAACTTTTCAATTTGAAAAACCTATATCTATTTCAATAATGGTATAAAAATGGCAAAATTTTCTGAAAAACCATCAAATATTCTTTAAAGCTTTTGAGCAAAACCTGGCTTAACAGTGATTAGACTATAGTGTGATAAACAGGATTTTTATATGATAAACAGGATTTTTATATGATAAACATGAGATTTTGTATGATATAAAAGACTTTAGCATGATGAACAAGAATATAATACAAGTGTCTAACAAAAGATGTTCAAAAACATTTTAATCTAGTAAAGGTAAGAATATTTCAGGCACAAAACGATTTTGACATTAACAGGAACCCTCGGGGGAATTTTTTAAGGTGGTACTTTTCTCTCTAAAACTAAGTAAAATCAAGATAACAGAAAAGATCCAAAATCAATGGAAACTTTTTTTATTTCTCACTATGAACTATCAATTTGAAGTTTAAAACTTTAAAATAAGATCCTCTACATGTACCACTATCAACAGCATTATGAAAACGATTTTAACATCAAACGCTTTAAAGAATATTTGACTGAAACAACACATACGGACTGTCATAGTTCTGGAGCAAAACTTAAAAAGAGGGTGTGAGCACAGTTCACAAGACAAAAACCACTACATCTAGGAATGTGAAATGAGAGTAGCTTTAACACAGGCTGTAAATTAATTAATACCTCTCCTAATTGAGAGCACAGAAAATAAGTTTTAAACAAGACGGCCTGGTGGTAGTGAATTTTAAAATCAGCAGCTGGACTAAAAACTTTCTTAGAATATTTTCCCTACCACTTATTTATAAGAATTTGCAAAATTTGTTAAAATGCGGAGGGAAAAATGCTACAGAAATTGTTAGGTCAAATAGAAATTCGATTACTGATCATGAACTTAACACTTACCCTGCTGTAAACTAGTGATTAGTCTTCGCCACAAGTATAGAGTCAGGTCCAGTCTGCATATCCGTGCAGTCTGATCAAGATCTGTACTGGCTGACTAACTTAAAAGTTTTTTGTATCTTGATATCCCCCAAAAGGGACAGGAACCTGGGCAAGTCCATTCAAGATATTTGCCAGGGTTTAAGTTCATAATCTTTTATTCACCTCTAAAGGGAAAGAACTATCTATACTTTTTTGGTAGCATTTCTAGAATTGTCCGTTTGAAGTATTTTATTTCTTTTCTTTTTTTTTTGTTTAAAAAAAATATGAGGGTATGGTGAACGGACGAAAAAATAAAAAGATCAACAAAAAAAGTTCAACATTTCATGATATAAAAAGCAGAGATGTCTAGCAATCCTTTCAAACAAACGTTTTCACAAAATAGAAAATGATTTGTTACATAAATAATTATTTACATGATATTTGTGATGGAGCAATGAGACCTTTCATCACCAAAAAGCACATACCAAACACAAACGATACACCGTGACAAAGAGAACGAAACAAACAAACAAAATAAACACATGTATAAAATTCAAAATTAAAAAAAAATATTAATATATATTGACAATGCCATTGAAAAAACAGCAAAGAAAAATACGACAAGATGTTTCAAGTACATATAGTCTTTGATCTATGACCCTCAAGCAAGCTGTAAACTGTTTATGGTAACTATGGTAACATAAAATGAGCACAAAAATGGAGCAACTACATTCCGTCCTGAGAATCAAGGAATTTCACTTATGTGTAAAATGAAACAATGTGATACACACTAGGCCGTATATATTACTGATTATCTGTTCATTCAAGCATAGTTTACCATTCAACCTCTCCATGGTGAAAGAGTCCTTCTTTTTTAAATAAACTTCCGAAACATGTATATAAAAGCTTCTTTGGCAATATGATTCTAGGCTCTTGGAATGAAAAACAGACATCCAAAAATTTGTATTATGAATGGACTTACATGCAAGAAGCTTTGAACCTATTACTAAGGAACAAATAAATACATGGCAGCAATTTTCTTACAACAATTCATAACTGTCAATCGGAATCAATTTTCAAAAATTTATTATCAGAATGGTTCATTATTATCATACAACTATCTAAATTCAATAAAGAAAAGAATATATTTGTTGAAGTGAAATGATAATCCTGCAGAACTGAAAAGAGCCTTTAAAAAGCACCGAAAGGGACAAATTAAATACAACTTGCTATGAAGTAACAGATAATCAATAAATCTTTACAACCGATAAGAAAAATACTAAGGAAATGCCATTTTTATAAACATGTCTCTTTCATCGGACGATATATATATTCCAAATAAATCTTTATTAGTATCTCAAAAACGCTCAGAACACCTTTTAGTTTTTACAATTATCAATTGCACCTGGTTCATTCTTATACTTAAAACATATTTTTTAATATTCACAATTTTTTTTCCTATATTTTCATTCATTTCAATGTTGCAATAAACTTGTAAAATTTGAAAGAAAGCGACCATTCTGTACACTTTTAAGACAACAAACAAGAAAAAAAACTGTTCAATATGTAATATTAAGTATAACAAAATATTCATTTTATCACATCTCTTCAAACAAATAATCCATCACATAAGCTCCAAGTTTGCTCGGAAATTCAAATGTTCAACTTTTCCCAAAGTACAACACTGAAATACCCTTTTTCTCCACAAATCGTATTCTATACATGGGCTAAAAACGAGACTTTCGAAGTCTCCAAAGATGAAGAATTATAATTATGGTGGAAATCGTCATTTACTCATTCAGCCGATTATTTTTTTCTTCCTTGCACCATTATATTCACTTTAGCTAGTTATACAACAACATACAAGTCAATCTGTGTTTTAAACACATATCCATTTCAAACAGAATTATATAAACTGACATGGCATTAGTGACATCAACAAATCGGGGTAGAGATTTGTGAATGTAATAACAAGATCGTCTTTCGGAAAACTATTGATCAACATGATAACTGACACAAAAAAAATAGATAAAATGTCACCCTAACCCTTTACCTGCTGAATTTGTGCGATGGATTTGTCCTGCTTTGAATTTGGAACAGTCCATTCAAAGTTTTAGGGATTTCAATTATCAAAATACAATAATTGAGCTACCAATGCTATAGAGCTTGGTCAGACGACACAGAAGGGCAGGCGGACCGGACTCTATACTGGTAGCAAAGGCTTAAGTTCCAGCAAGTTAAAGAGTTAAGGTGATGCATCACAAAACATTAATCATTTTAATCACATATTTTCTGTGCAAAAATTGGCACATCTTTCATTTGAAAATGACAGTAAGTTTCACACAAATAATAACAAAACAGAGAAAGAAAACAGTTTGTTGTTGTTTCTTTTAAGTTCAAAACTGAAACTGTCTGAATTAAGATAGAAGGCCCTGCGCTTGCACTTTTACCTAAATTATGTCACTCAAAATATACATTTGCTACAAAAGTTGGCAGTTACGGAATTAAATCAAGATAGTCCCAAATAACGGTTAAAATAAAGACCTTGGTTCTGCTGATCACATATGCATTGAAGATATCACCTTGACAAGGCAAGATTGACTGCTTTTTTTATTAGTTTCAAATTTTTACAAGAAATAATAGCCAACTGGCTCGCAACTAGCAATGACTCTGCATATCACATTTTAATATGCAACGTACTTTGAACAACAATATTCATCTTCACATTTGATAAAGGACCTTTTAATAAGAGAACAACTAACAATGGACACATAAATATTTTTGAAATCAATAAAGACATAGCAGTTGGCAGCGAACACTTTAATGAAAATAAGAATTTGGTATGTTTTTTTTCTTTTCAGAGTTTCACATTAAAATTACAGCACGACCATATGCAACTGAAAATATTCACACAAGTGATCGAGACAGTATTTGCATATTCCAGATAATACTATTGCCACATTTTAATAATACAAACGGGGGGAGAGAAAAAAAATAGGATCTAAATGCAAAATGTATAAAAACACGAGTATTAAGCATGTTTCAAAAAAATAATCTTTAATAATGAAGAATGAATTACAAAACATTGGTCACAATCTTTTCATAAAAAAAAAATAAACAAACCTATTATTATAACATTTTGATTCAAACGCTTCCAGCTTACGATCGAAAAAAAATAACGGGACACTTCATTTAAGTCATGATAACTATATTATATAACGTTTTTTTTTTCGCAACAAAATAAATTAAAACTGTTTAATATGATCACATTCTACATACAGAGTTAGCAGTAATCCCCTGATTCATATTAAAACATTCCTTTATGTAAACAAATCACTTAAAAACCTTCATTCTCATGTTCTGAACAAAATAATAAATTAAAAACTTTGGCAGAGTAGTGTCATTTCTTTCTCACTCTTTTTCTTGTTGTTGTTGTTTTTTGTATATATAACATGTATATGAACTGAAAATATGCAATTCTGCTTTCAAAAAGCATCTCATTCAAAATTAGAAATACTTATAAAATCTCACTCACAACTATGTTTATCGAACGACGCGAGTGTTATGAATAAATACCACTCGAGCAGGTACGCAAGTTTTTTTCTCAATACAAGGATGACGACAGAACGAGGAAAATGAGACAAGGTATAACCAGAATGCTTGTGTAATGATCAAGTTATATGTACAATGTTCATGATAAACTGTAAAGTATAAATTATTACTCCAACATTTCGTATATATAAAATAGCACATTAAATTATTAAGCTCCCTTTTGTGAATCGAGAATTCACTGATCATGGTAACTCCTAGTCCTGATTTCACAACATGGTATACCCAGTTGTCAACTTTTATATAAAATAAATAAGGGTCTACATAAATATTGTTTGAATCCTCACAGAACCACCAGCTTTAACAAACATTTCTATCACACAAAATGCAGCAAGACATTGCGGCTAGGTTGTTACTTTTTTTTTTATATATTTCTATTTGTACGTTTAGCAGTCATGTTGGACACTAGATGACAATAATGAAATGTCCTCACATTTCTCAGAATTGCATACTTTCTACACTGAACTAAGCACCATCACTAAACTTCCTTTCAACGACGAGGGCCCGACATCCCTCCTCTTTGACCCATTCCTCCGCCCCCGCCTCTACCGCCATCCCTCATTCCTGGTGGGCCGCCTCCACCTCGTGGACCCATTCCTCGTCCTGCACTGCCTCCTCGGTTACCATATCCCCCACCACCACCGCCGGCACTTCCAGATCGTGGTGGGGGACCCCTTCCCATAGGACGACCCTCGCTTCCTCGTGGCTTCTTCTCCTCAACATTCAAACGATGATCATGGAACTTAATGGGCTAAAAAAAGAGAATCAGAAATGTATTTTTCATTAAAACACTGCAAAATTTTCTCACCTACCTAAAATAGTCATTCTCGAAATTTCCACATCATGAAGGAGAACAAAGAAAATTCTTAATGCCCTATATGATTTTACATATTTATTTTGGTAATTAATGATAAATTGTATTATATTACTCATACCTTGCTCTGTAGAATATTCTGTACAGGGTCTGGATTGTCAAATACCACAAAACCGAAGTTCTGAAAAAGAAGATAAACTGTAAAAATTCTAAGATGGCAACTTCAAGTGTCATATATATATATTACCAGAATACCAGTACATGCATTTTTATCTTCTTGTTAACCTTTCTGAATGTTAAACAGTTCAAAGCACAGATACACACTTAAAAAGAACTTTATATCTAAAGGAAAGAACCTGTTTATTTGCCTTCTGTAGAAAAAGTTGTTTTTGTTTTTCTTAACAGAATTGTTGTTTATGCCTCCAGTATTATACAAGATCCTGTAGACTTGAATATGCAGTCTAACCAAGCCCTATACCCTTGGTGACTCAATTTCTATACATTGAAATCCCTTATTCAAACAGACTGTTCAAAATTCAATGCAGGGCAATTCCATTACATAAATTGTACCTTAATACTTGCTTAAAAAGCGTTAAACAATTCATTAAAAAATATTTCTCAGATTAAAATTAGCTACAGAGACCATAGCTGTTGTAACTATCTTGAACCAAGAGGTTTCTTAGGCAATTAAGAAAATGTTCTAGCCCAACTGTACTTTTTACACAGACTTCTAGCCCAACAGTACTTACAGGTATTTTACTACCACTGCCTCCTTTTGTGTTTATACGAAGTTCCATTACATTACCATAGCCTGAAATACAATCAACATTTTCTTACATGATTCATACAGAAATCTATCTATAAATCAAAATGATATTTCCATGAAATGCAAAATTATATTTTTATTCAAATGAATTCTAGAGAATTTTCTCTATTTTGCCCTCAAAGTAAAAATAATCTCTTAAAATAATTGGCATCGAACAAATTGATATCCATTCAATTAAGCATGACAGAGATTTTTAAATTCAATGGAAAATTTGGAAATTCAACCATATTTCAATTACAATCTTGATTTTTTTATTAATTCTGTCATATTTCCAGGTCTGTGTGACACTGTTCTTTAAAGGGATTTTTATCGTACTTTCAAAGAATTTGCGCAACTCCTGTTCTGCAACATTGTGTGGTAAATTTCCAACAAACAGCTGATGGCTATCTGGATATCTGGCCCCTCTTCTGTCCGACATATTCTCGCCATCTTCACGTGTAACACTCACACGGTCCCTATCACGACCTCTGTCTGGACGGTCACGTCCACCTCTGATAAATACATAAAAACATTCTGCACATGAAATATTCTTATAAATGTATTATTACAAAATGATAAATTATAATATGATAACCATTTGCAAAGCTATGCAACAGATGTAATGCTTTACAAGAAATGATATGCTCAGTAAAAGTTGTCTTCAGTAGTGGTGAGTAGGTGTCTGACAGCAGGCTACTGTCACCTACGCACCCGTCCGACGCAAATTACAGAATCACTGCATATTTCCCGCAACAAAGTGTTGTCATTGCCAAAAAAGAGACTTTATTCAAACCCAAAGTTAAACTTATGTGTGTCTAGATCAAGTACAAAGTACAGCTGCATGAGTATTGATTAAATTTTTAGAAAGAAAACTAAATATCAAAAAGACAACAGAGATGTATAGTATCCAGTGTTTTTATCACTTAACTGGTATGCTGCGAAAAATAATCACTAACATTGCTAATTTTGGAAGTAAAAAACTAGTGTTAAGTTCATGTTTTCGGAAAATCGGCACGATTTAAAGAAAATTTAAATTGGGAAGAAGCCTTTGTTGTATAAGAAGAAAATCACTTGTATGAATAATATAATTTACTCAGTTAACAATGTCTTCAGTTTTAGTTAATGGGCGTAAAACAGTAGGCAACTGTCACCTATTAACCAATCTGACGCAAATTACACACATTGTTGCAAAACTTTGTAAAATTTTTATGTGAACTTCAACATGAAATATACTTTGTGCTTAATTAATTTCCTAGTATGCTCAGTAAATATTATCATCAAGTCTAGTAATTATGGCTTCTGACAGTAGGCAACTGTCGCCTAATTACCAATCTGACGCAAATTACACACATTGTTGCAAAACTTCGTACAATTTGTGAAGTATAGAAAAAACAGAAGTTGATAAAATCTTAGCATAAATATTTAGTATGCTCAGTAAATATTATCATCAAGTCTAGTAATTATGGCTTCTGACAGTAGGCAACTGTCGCCCAATTACCAATCTGACGCAAATTACACGCATCATTGCAAAACTCCATACAATTTGTGAAGTACAGAAAAAACAGAAGTTTATAAAATCTTAACATAAATATTTAGTATGCTCAGTAAATATTATCATCAAGTCTAGTAATTACAGCTTTTGACAGTAGGCAACTGTCGCCCAATTACCAATCTGACGCAAATAACGCGCATCATTGCAAAACTCCGTACAATTTGTGAAGTACAGAAAAAACAGAAGTTTATAAAATCTTAACATAAATATTTAGTATGCTCAGTAAATATTATCATCAAGTCTAGTAATTATGGCTTCTGACAGTAGGCAACTGTCGCCCAATTACCAATCTGACGCAAATTACACGCATCATTGCAAAACTCCATACAATTTGTGAAGTACAGAAAAAACAAAAGTTGATAAAATCTTAACATAAATATTTAGTATGCTCAGTAAATATTATCATCAAGTCTAGTAATTACGGCTTCTGACAGTAGGCAACTGTCGCCCAATTACCAATCTGACGCAAATTACACGCATCATTGCAAAACTTCGTACAATTCGTAAAGTACAGAAAAAACAGAAGTTGATAAAATCTTTACATAAATATTCAGTATGCTCAGTAAATATTATCATCAAGTCTAGTAATTACGGCTTCTGACAGTAGGCAACTGTCGCCCAATTACCAATCTGACGCAAATTACACGCATCATTGCAATTACTACGGACAGTTAAGCATTTCAGGTCTATCAGCAAGTAAAAAGTATCTTCAGGATTACTCAGCCTCTAAAATCAAAATTCAACATTAAAGTAATGGTATCTATTTCAAGACATGCTCAGCAGGTATTGTCATCATATAAAGCTAGCAGGTATATAACAGCAGGCTACTGTCAACCTGCTAACTATCTGACGCAAATTACAACCATCATTGCATTCATAGTATGATAAAACATACCAATGTTCATACTTTCTAACTTTTCTTTAGAATGTAGACTTAAATGGCCATATTCTTTTGGAAGCAGCCTTACTGGCCATAACCTTTGAGAATTAGTTAAAATATTACAGTAACCTTCAGATGTAAAAAATTAAATTGCACGTTCTAATTATGACAATGCTAACCTTGGGGCTCTTTGTTCTTTAGGTGCTGTCGGGCTAGTGTCTTGTTTCACCTCTTGTCTTGTGCCAAATCCCGATGATTTCATACTCTGTTGCTGGGGCTGTGATGGAATCTGTTGAGAGACAGGTCTGCTTGTGCCCTTGCTTGCCAAATCAGCCCATGAAAATGGTTTTCTTGGCTCGTCAACTGAATCAAAACCAAAGAAGTCATATAATTTCTTTAAAAGCAGTGTACTTTAACTTACAACCTAAACATGTATCTATTCACATGACACTATTCAAATATAATTCTTTTCATAAGTTAATATCCATTCCTGCTTAAGCTTTGTTTTATTTGAATGAGATAATCTTCAATTCCTACAACGTACAAGTATTTAAACCATTTTATCTTAAAACTTTTACATTCTTTATAAAGGCTTGGCAACAAAATTTTAAAATTTTTGGGAATGGGAAGATATATCTGTGGATAAATGACCCATAAATGGGGATATTTAAGTACACTTAAATCATCTTAAACAACAAGAAACTTACATATATAGATAGAAGAACACATGCTTCTATAATATACATTCTGTTTTCTTGAAATGAACTAAATAAGGGTTATAAACTTTGATAAGATTATTTTTTTTATAAAAATTTTAACAATACCTTGAGGAGGTTCCTCTGGCTGTGCAGGCTCTACCTTGGGTTCTTCCTTCACTGGTTCATATGTCTCAATCTGTGCTGGAATCTGTTCCTCAGGTTCGAGGGGCTCTTCAGGCTCAGACTTTGGAGAGGTTGGAGTTTCAATTTGCTCTTCCTCCAACATCCCAGTACCATTGCTGTTAAATGCACATTATCAAACATTATTATGTATGACTCATATTCAGAAATAGTAACTACCAAGAAAAACTTCAGTTTGATAGAAGAGGAAGTCCACTACCTATAGGAAATCCTAAAGATTAGAATTTTTTCCCTAATACGAATTACAGTTCTAATACTGCTAAATTGAATTGAAATTGAAAGTTTATAAAACCTGTGGGTAAATTCCATTCAAGTTGTTGGAATTTTACTTCAGATTTCCCCCTTTTCTGATTTACCGCACTATATTTTGCCTTCAGAAAGCACAAATTGTTTTGAAAATTGAAAATAAAATCATTAACATTCTGGAAAAACTGTTGACCTCAGTCTTTTTTTTAATGCAGTCTTTTTTTAGTTTGCATTCTTACAATCATTGCTTGCTCAGTCTATCAAAAATCGTATCATGGAAAGATAAAATTAATATAACTTTAATTAAGTTTAAAATCTAAAGAAAGACAAAAAAACCTGAATCAAAGTCTGAGACATAAGCACATAAACATTCATTTAGTTTAGTTGGACTGCATATGTTCTAAAAGTGGATTATTCAGTATTAAGACCAGTTCACTATTAAGACCACTTTGGGTCAGTCACGCTAGTGGTCTTAATAGAGGAGATTTACTGTATCTAAATCTCAACAGCCTTTTTCTAAAGTATGCATCAAGTATTTACCTGAGTGATGGGGCATGAGCATCAAAAAACTGTTGTGTATCTGCCAACAGATCCTGTTGTACACCAACAGGCTCAACGATCTCACCTTCGGAGTCTAAAATAAAACAAATCCGTTTTATTCACATCTAAATGATGACACTTTTAAATCAGTCATCTTCAATGTTTCCAACTACAATATAAGTATATATTAGTATAAAATACAACATTTTCCCCACCCATAGATCAATTTTGTTTCCCTAAGTTACATTCACAATTTTACTTTTTTTCCTATCCACTTTACCCACAAAAGATTTTACAGTTAAAATACTTCCTTACTGGACAGACCAGAACACATTCTATTTGTCAAGAGGTAGAGAAATATCAAGATAAATTACCTTGTGCATCTTCTTGGTTTTCAGTGTCCGTATCATTATCATGGAAAACCTCGTCCTGGTATCGGAAAATATCATTGTGCACATAGTACTTCTTTGGAGACTGTGGTGCCAACACAAAAGTCTGCATAAATCTACGCATTTGCATACCATTGTTTGACAACTCTCCTGTAACCTATAAAATTAATACCATTTGTTTTATCCATATATATTGTTAAAAATTTAAACGAACAAGCAAACAACCCTTTCAACAAGCAGGGAAGCATTTTAATGCTGCACACAAAAAAATTTGATAAAAACATGGAAAACCTAGGAAGGAAAGTAGAAATATCTTTTTATCTCATGTAACCTTGATCCATCACGTTCAAGGACTTCATGGTGACCCTGACCTTTGACCTCTCAATGTCTGCGTGCACATGTTAAGTATGGAGGCTGCAGGCGAAAGGATTTCCGTGTTACGGTCTAGGATAAAGCTTTGACACAAACAGGAAGACCAAAACAATATGCCCTCTATCCAAGGACATCTTAAATATTTGTCACTGAAATAATTAAGCGCTTTTTTTGTGATGATATGAATTTTGTATCAAATAGATAGGAGTACATACCTGCACAACAACTGCATTTCCAACTGTGGCTTGACTGTCAACCTGACGGATCTTAGCATGGCAATCACAAAAGTTTAGGGACATAATTTTCTTGTGAATGTCCTAAAAATAGAATACATATAGGTACGTAAGTTTTCTGCCAACATAATGATTACTTTTTTATAAAGTCACACAACACTGTTATGGTCAAAGTATTTTTCCAACTTTTCTGCTTGTTGCTCCTCCATGTGTTATTTACAGCACAATCTTACACAAAATAAAAGCACCAACATATCTCATGGCAACTGGGTGCAAAAATCCAAATTACCATAAGGTTTCTAACTTGGTTAACAAGCAATTATCATAGTATTGCAAGCAATCCATAAGTCCCCTACCGGTAAGAGCCCAAGCAACATTCTGAAGGGCCATTGGCCATTCACTTATGTTCCTATTTAAATAAATTTGTTAAAAAAGTTCTTTAAAAGTTATCACAGGAAACAGTTTTTATGTACAGACAGACAGACGGACTGAAGGACACTCTAAAGTTATTTTTTAAACATCCCTGTTATCAAAATATAACATTTTTAAAATCCTATCATGATTGAAGAAGTTGGAGTAAAAATTACCAATTTCTCAAAAAAAAGTCTAAGTTCAAAAGGGGCATACTTCTGGATATAATCTTGCTAGAGTATTGAACACTCACAAATGTTGAGTGATAATAAGAAACATTTATATGAAGTTTGAAGTAGATACATTCAGAAAAAGAAGTTATTAAAAAAAACAATGTTTTTTTCATAAAAAATTTATGTTCAAGGGAGGTAATTCTGATAAATTTTGTGCTAGAGTTGTAAACCTTGTCACATATGATGTGGTTGATGACAAGCAACTTATATTTAAAGTTTGAAGAAAATACCTTAAGAAATAAAGTATTTATTTCCATACTGCCATCTACCCATATGTCAAGTTTCATAAAAATATTTTCAGTACTTTTTGCGTTATCACGGGATCCAGGTTATGTGTAAAATTTGCCATATTTTCAGTCTATTTGTTGCCATAGCAACCAGAATTTTCAACATAGGAAGAAAAGAAAAAGACGTGCATAATCTCCATACTGCAATCTATCCATATATCAAGTTTCATAAAAATATTTTCAGTACTTTTTGCATTATCACGGGATCCAGGTTATGTGTAAAATTTGCCATATTTTCAGTCTATTTGTTGCCATAGCAACCAGAATTTTCAACATAGGAAGAAAAGAAAAAGACGTGCATAATCTCCATACTGCCATCTATCCATATATCAAGTTTCACTAAAATATTTTCAGTACTTTTTGCGTTATCGCGGGATCCAGTTTTGTGGACGGACTGATGGACATACCAAAATTAGATGTTTATGAGGCAAATGAGCTCATAAACACCACCTGGACCAACGTCCATAAGCAAAATAAGCTCATAAAAACAAAAAAATAGCTCTTAATTTGAATTTTATGAGTTTATGTTCTTTATTTAACTACGGAATGAAGCTCATAATAATTAAATGTTGGCTCGGACGGACAGACGGACGGACGGAGGGTAAACCTAAAGTCCCCTCCAGTAAACCGGTAGGGGACTAACAAGAGGCAAGCTATCCTAAGTAAGCAACCATAATCCCTGACCGCCAATTTTTTTATTTCCTGTTCTCATTCTTGTGTCTTAGGAATTTCAATATAACACAAGAGATAGAACCATGACTTTACAACTAGTAACAAATAATAATCAGGCCCTCTCCTTTCAAAACCATTAACACAATAAATGTCCATGTGTATATATAAAATAAAATGCATTTTTTGAATTGAGTGCAAATCAAACATGAAATTTTTGAATAAGTAGCATAATCTTTTGTTAAAAAAATTGACAAGTAACAAACTTTATTGAAAATTTTTGTAAACATTATTTATATTGTTTTTTTTATTTAACAGCAAAAATATAAATTCCACTTACTGCTTGGCCCATCACAGGGGGTTGTTCTTCACCAGGTTTCTCTACACCTCCATGAACAAAACTTGAATTATGACTGTAAAATCTGAAATGGTATATACATCTCAATATTAAAAATATATCACTTCATATTCTTAAACAAAACATATCATCACAATTTTGCACTTGACTGCTTACTGACAATAACTTCCAGTTTAAGAAAAATTACTTCCTGGTCATTTTCATGGTCATTTTTAATTACTGAGCACAAAAAACAATTATTCAGTGTGCATTATTCAGATTATTATGTATATTATATTCATTAAGAGTTGAGGAATAAAATTCACGTTAAAAATAGCTATCTCAAAACTTCACCTGATCATCATCAAAATAACATATTTACCTGTGAAGATGCAGTGGGGCCTCATGAAGCAAGGTGTAGTACTGCCTCACAAATTCACGGCCAACACACTGAGGACTAGGAGTTTCCATGACCATGACTTAGAGTTTAAAGGGAGCAAATAATCTGAAACAATAATGTCATAATATTACAGTAACACATATGTATTTTTATATTATATATCGTTTTATAATATTGCTCAAAATCTCCAGTCTATATCACTTTATAATCATCAGAATTTTGTAGACAATAAGACATTAGAACCGCTGGAGTTGCAACTTCAAACATAACAATACAACACTGAACCTTCCTGATTTCAAAATTAAAAAACATGAATTGAGAAGAATGACAATGACCTTTTAACTAAATGCCCTAAGGCAACATGTCGAGCCCGCTGTCACATCTGACCTTGAGCTTTGACACAGCAAAATGGTTATTAAGTGACACGCCGTCTTATGATGTTAAACATTTGTGCCAGGTTATATGAAATTTCACCAGCTAGTGATAGAATTGTAGTGTGGCCAAGCTTTTGAGACCATTTTTGGCATTTGACCTTGAAGTAAAACCTTGACCTTTGACCTAGCCACACGGTTCTTGCACTTTTGTACAATGTTATTTCAAATTCTGCCTACCAATGACAGTTACATCCTGGACAAGCATAATCCAGACAGACGCACGCACATACACTGAACTGCTATTGTGACAACTATATCGAGCTCTTCACAGGAGGCCTCATAAAAAATGGATTTTAAATGAGTGACTCAACAAAAATTCTTGTTTTGTACCTTAAAAAAATTGAACGATTTTTACCTGTTTCTTATGATCATACACATGATAAAAACTTAAACTGATAAATTTTTGTTAATGAAGTAATTGAAAACTAATGAACTTGTTAGATACTGCATTTATTTAACAAATGAACTTGTTAGATACTGCATTTATTTAACAAATGCACAAATTAAGTTTGTATGTTTGTTATTTGTTTGCTCATGTGCTATATTTCAAAATATTATCACAAATCAACAAGATGAAAAGCATTCTGCTACACTCCTGTATGTATTTTGTGCAACTGCATGTAGGTACAAGAAACACAAACCTTAAAATAGAAACTTGACTCATATGAGGATATGCATGATAACTATCATTCAAATCTACTTCAAACATTAACATCAGAGACTTATATAATTACCGAAGGAGAAGCAGCTCCAAAAATAAGAAAGATTTCCCATCGAGACGCACAATCCCTAGCAGGAGATTTAATCGTGATTGGCGATGATTGATTTCTAACATCTTTGTTTTAATATTGGAAAGTTATCAGATATTTAAGGTTACAAAACGTATTACCGATAATTTATAATTGTTCATATTCTTTATTTTACATTTATTTAAGTTATATTTTGTCCCTTTTTATATTCTCTTTAGACTTAATGAGTTTAAAATAACCTGGTGGCATGAATATCTGTAATTTTTCTTAGCCAATAAAATGTGGGATTATGAGATAAAAAAAAGACAAACACGTAACATATACTGGGCAGGAACCAGTTTCCTGACAATACCAGTTTCCGGACAAGTATTATAACGGCTTAATTTTGGCTTTATCAATGACGATCGGTATTATATGTCATGAAGATGCTTGTTTTGTTTCAGAAAATAAACTTCCTTCCAAGTTGATACATCATTAAAATTTCGTGAGGATATCTTACCTCTGTTTTAAAAACAGCCTTATATCCCTTTGGGGCATGTAATTTGTTCTGCGCATGCGCAATATTTTGTTTATTTCGGGATATAATTTGGGGTAGCAATTAATGCTCAATTTACTTCATTCGAAGTTTATTGTGTGTAAGCCCAGAGCTTAATCTGTAACGTATCGGAAAACGGTGTTTAGCTAGGTTTACTCCACTTTCGCACTTCGTTGCTGCCATACACACAAAAATATCCGTTTCAGTTTTCAGTCATTCCGAGACCCAGCACGTGATCGTTATTTTTCCTATCATAAACATTTTTCAGTAAATCAGCTTAATTATATAAGAAAGCTAATATGTAAAATGAAATTTTTTGTTATATTAGAATATTTATCAGTTAAAAACAGATATGAATAGCAGCTTAATATATGTTCGGAAACTGGTTCTGCAAGAGTGAACAATTTACAATTTTGAAGACCTAACTTAACCCTTCAGTTTGTACATTGCTTTCCTCACCAGGCAGTATTAATTGTGTTATCGGACGTAGTTAGAGCTCAGGTTTTTGGTATGTTAGTTTTATTAAATTAATGCATGTTTATTATTAAAAAATAGACAATTAAAAAAACTCGAATTCTGTCCGGAAACTGGTTCCTGCCCAGTATATTTACAGTTACCATTTCATTTGTAAATCATTAAATTTTGGCGTATTTGCAAATACAGTATCACGAGTCATATATCTTATAAATTTGCAAATTCAAGTTGGCAGAACACGATGACTCTCACGAAAACTTATACATGTGCAACTGTGTTATCACTGATTCTGGTCTTTCAGTGCATGACATCATAATAACCTCTCTATCAACATACAGATCCATGACGACATCAGATTATTTTCACTTTGAATTGTTAGTTTTTACAACAAAATATATTCCCCTTTTATTATTTTATTCACAACAATATTTAACATATCAAGTTAGTAACCAAAACTTTTTTAAAAAATACTCAAAGCCAATTACTATTTCTGTAGAAAGAAGACTTTAGTTGAAATTAGTACTGACTACACTACTGTACAATAAAAGGAAAAATATTAAAATTTTATTTAGATCGAGGTCATTTCGTGATAAATTCTTTTTCGATTTTGAATCAAGGACGGACGTCCAAAAGAAACATTTGAGTTTACTTTTTAATATCATAATTAATAACCCATTAATAAAGCGAATAATAACGATCAACAATACACAAAACGAAACAGACTTTTTTTCTTCGCGGTCTATCCAATTTTGGCGAGGGGAAACCGGCAATTTTACAAACAAAAAATTTACAGCTGAATTTCCTCGTTTACTTACCTTAGATGATCGAATCAATACACAACGAATTATTTTTTAAAAATACATGAGAAAATGGTTCAAAGTAAGTCTATATTTTACATAAATAAGTTATTATTTCAGTTTCTTTTCTTTCCAGCACATGCACGTTTTGTAGAAAATTTTTCTTACCCTAGTGCGCAGGCCCGAAATCTTTTGCTACAAGTTTTGGCCCTTCAAGAGTATAACGCTTAACTGAAATATTCACAATTTGATATATATATTATGTTTTAAAATAAAGGCTAGCATTATAATTATCTTAGGGATCAATACAACAAGCGGTGAATTGAACGTTAAAGGGCATGAAAGTGACAAAAAAGCAGTAATACCGGTTAAATTTGCCGTTAGTTTTACTTATGCATACACAATAAATCTGGCCCTTTATGCATTTTAGTTTCGAAATCTTGGAAATAGGTTACATCCCAATTCCGTTTCATATGATAAATCAATTAACATATTAACTTTAGAATGATGAAAAATTACTTTTATTCCACACTTAACCAGTTATATATTTTTGAAAAATACGAAAATAATAATAAAGTATTTTACCCCTTGTGAGCATGCGCGTTGCTATCGGAGACGGCTTACACAATTGCAGACTTTTACTTTGTTGTTCACTGTCATCAACACAAATCAAGTTGTTATCGAGATTATAACAAGGTGACAACATTTGACCATCGGCATGGCTGGCACATACTATCACCAGGAAGCTCTTCGTAAGGCGAGATTGATTGAAAGAAAAACTGAAGCAATGAGACGATTACAAGACAGTCTTGGAGATGTAAGTTAACCATGTCTGATGTCTTTGAATTCCTTATTTTTGCTATCAAATATGTATATGTTTTCAAATCCAACACTCCTATGAGGGTTGACCATCACTATCTGATACCCACCAGAAACTTGAACTCCCTGATACCATACTCAAGGACACATGCAGTATCTGACTCCTAGTCCTATACATTTTCCCCAGAAGTATATATTCATCCCAGGTGTAGTGATTACAGGTGTAGGCAATTTCCAACAGCCTTGCTGTTGGATTAACCCTTTAGCGACGTGGTTAAGTGTCCGCCTTGTAATTGAGAGGTCAGGAGTTCAAATCCCGGTCCCAACCTGAGGTTTTATCAGGTTTACCATAATGAAATGTTCTACCGGTGTCCTGAAGTTACAAGCTTGTTCCAGCTTAGACCTTTTTACTGGGCAGCTGCATCCTGTCTGCCAGTTTTAAGTCAGTATTGTATTTATATTTGTATCTCGGTCTTGTAGTTATTTTGTTTTCATTTACCTTGCTTTTATCTATTACATAAAGTACATATATATATATATAATTGTTTTAACAGCTTTTTCCAGACAACCTACCTGCTTCAGTGTGATCGTTTAATGATTTTATAAGCAATAAAATGCAGATCATAGTCCATTTACTTACATTGATGCTCATTTTTGGGCATGCACAGATTTTGCAAAATTATTTCCAATTTTGTACATAGATTTATTTTCACATTCCTGCATTATACATCATCAGTGTGGTGACAGCAGAAATGATACAAAGTTCCATCAAAACTGATACCTAATTCAATATAATACTTTGACATGTAACTATATTGACAGCTGATTTAACTAATACTATTTTTTATAGCGATATGACACTAATATGAGGAAGACTTATAGGTTTGAATTAAAATTATATAACTGTATTGGTTCACTGTCACTTTTTAATATATTTTTTATATTTTATAGAGTCAGGAAGGACCTGGTATTGTTGAAAGTAAGCCATCCAACTTGGTTTTTTCAGAAGCTGGTCATTATGCACAAAACAGGTACATTGTTCTGTTTATTTTTGTTGTTGTTTTTGTTGTTGTCTGTTACTTTAACTCTCTGTGTGAATAAAATGTTCCAATTGATCAAATTATTTGTCAGATAAAGGTAATTTTAAATGTCACTAAAATTAATCTCTTTGATTTGTAACATTAAAATCAGCAATCCAAACACATGTCTTAGTTTTTTCTTTCAAAATTTATTATAATCAATTAAAACAATATTATTTTCTACACAATACAATGTTGGCAAGGGAAAGCTGAGTGTGTCCAAAGAAAACATGAGCAGTAGGCATTTAGTACATATATAATATTCTAAGGATGTTTCGACAGTTTTTTTAGATGTATGTGGTTTGATAATATTTAAATAAATGTATTTCTCATTTTGTAGAATTTTTAAACTTTTAGTATCTACTTGAAAAACTGTGATATTTACATGTATTTTGTGGATCAAATATGACACAAAAACTATTTCAATAAATCTATATTTATAAAAGATAAAGAAATCATAGTCAATGATTAACCTGTAAGTAAAGGGACTCTATTGGATCCCATTAGGTTTCTTGACAATTGACAGGACTGGAAATATTTTTTTCCAATTTATTTTGATTACACTGGTCTAATACCAATAGTTATTTTAGATCATCCATTCTCTCATATTTTTTTCCAGAATTTCATAATGAAAAGATATAAAGGCTTTTAATCCATATTGGACACTTAAAATAATAAATATATTTATACCCCCGAAACAAAGTTTTGGGGGTATGTAGGAGTCACCCGGTGGTCGGTCAGTTCAGCGGTCCGTTGCATTTTCCTTGTCCGGAGCATAACTTTAAGACTAATGGTTGGAATTCAAAACAACTTCATACAATGGTCAAGCACAATAAGAGGAAGTGCTGTGCTCAAGAACCATAACTCCATCTTGACTAATTACAGAGTTATTGCCCTTTGATACTTTTCCTTGTCCAGAGCATAACTTGAAAATTCAAAACAACTTCATACAATGGTCAAGCACAATAAGAGGAAGTGCAGTGCACAAGACCCATAACTTATCTAAAGTAATAACAGAGTTATTTCCCTTTGTTACTTTTCCATTGTTTTTTTCTTGTCCAGAGCATAACTTGAAAACCACTAGATGGAATTCAATACAACTTCATACAATGGTCAAGCACACACAATGAGAGGAATAATAAGGAACTCTTTCTTGACTCATTTTAGAGTTATTGCCCATTGTTACCTTTTATTGTCAAGTGCATAATTTGAAAACTAATGGTTAGAATTTAATGCAACTTCATACAATGGTCTAGCACATGAGAGGAAGTGCAGTGCACAAGAACCATAACTCTATCCAGAGTAATTGTAGAGAGGTTGCCCTTTGTTACTTTTCCTTGTTGCAGACCATAACATGAAATCTACTGGTTGGAATTCAATACAAGTTCATACAATGGTTAAGTATATTGAGAAGAAGCACAGTGCACAGGAACCATAACTCTTTCTTGAGTCATTTAAGAGTTACTGCCCATTGTTACTTTTTATTGTCCAGCGCATAACTTGAAAATTAATGGTTGGAATTCAGTACAACTTCATACAATGGTCAAGCGCAGTGAAGTGAAGTGCTCAAGAACCATAACTCTATTTTGAGGAATTACATAGTTATTGCCCTTTGTTACTTTTTTTGTCAAATGCATTACTTGAAAACTAATTGTTGGAATTCAATGCAACTTTATACAATGGTCAAGCCCAGTAAGATGAAGTGCAATGCACAAGATCCATAACTCTATTTGGACTAATTACATAGTTATTGCCCTTTGTTACTTTTTTGTCCAGTGCATAACTTGAAAACTAGTGGTTTGAATTCAATACAACTTCATACAGTGGTCAAGCGCAGTGAGAGGAAGTGCATTGTGTAGTAACCGTTACTACATCTTCAGTTTTTGCAGAGTTATTGTCCTTTGTTCCTTTTCCTTGTCCGGTGCATAACTTTAAAACTAATGTTTGGAATTCAATACAACTTTATAAAATGGTCAAGCGCAATGAGAGGAAGTGTAGTGCTCAAGAAATGTAACTCTATCTGGACTTACTACAGAGTAATTCAATGAAACTTTATCAATGGTCAACCACAGTGAAAGGAAATGCAAGGTACAAGGACCACAACTATCTTTAATTGCCCTGGAACAACCATAACTCTATTTCAACTCTATACAAAGTATTCTGTGACTAGTTACTTCCTCATTTCCGAAAAAGTCTTGTGGGGGTATTAATCACATTTAGTGATAGTTCTAGTTTCAATTTATTAATTCTGAGTATATTTCTTAATTTGATCTTTTTCATATTTTTTTGTTTTATGTGCCCCATTAATAGTATCTCTGTAAGATTAACCTATTAGTAATTTAGTCAGGAGCTCCTGTAAGACGTAAAATGTAGATTGTCCTTTTAGTTACTGAAATTTCTAGCCTAGACATGTTGTAGATTAAAATTCAAACAAAGAATTTGAATCATATAAAAATGTGTATTTGACATCTCCATTTATCAGTCGTTTTCTTCTTGATAATTTTTCATAACATAATTTATAATTATATTTATAATTTATATAATGTACTTTCAGATTTCTTTACTCACAGTATTCAATTTACATTAATACATTAATAATTATCTTATATCAGAATGGTACTAAAATTAATAAATTAGTTTTAATATTGATTTCATCAAATTCATAATAATATACATGTATTGTATGTACAAGACGCAGTCTTTAGTTAAAGTATATTCTATGCTTTCATAATTAATATTCTGTTCTTGGAGTTAAATTGCATTGATTCAGGGAGATGTTAATCAATGGCAGAAATAATGTTTTATTAATTTCATATCTAAATTTTTTTGTTGAACAAGCAATTTACAAACAGAGTAATTATATAGCAATCAGTTATCCAAAGAATCTTTGTACACACTAATTACTAGTAATTAGAGTGTTTTTTACTGGTTATATACATAATTTCAAACATTTCCATTCATAAAGAATGTTTATTATGTAACTTAAAAATTCAAATGAGTTCCAGCAATAGACAGTTTTTATAATTTTCGTTTTTATATGCAATGTGTTGTACAAATGTGCAGTAATTATATGTTAATATAAATACACACACACATTCAGCATTTATTTGCATTTCAATCTCCTTTCTACGTCTTATACTAACCGAACAACAAATTTCTATTTACATTTCTTTCTAGATCCGATAATGTAAGAGGCTGGGAAAAGAATGAGGTGGTTTTTGAGGAGGTCGTGCATGATCCAAATTTTAAATATAGAATTTCAAAGGATTCCGGAAATAGACCCGTACACGTAGATCCCATTTATAAAATCTTGTATCCTGGCGGAGTTACGAGAAAGTAGACATTTTGTATTAATGTACGTGACAGTGTATTTTTTTTAAGCTTTCATACTTTATATCGGTCACACTTCCAGTCATGTAACAGCACCTTGACTAAAAAAAATATCTGTCCCTTTAACTTCTTGCCTAAAATCTCTCTAAATTACTCTCCAGCAAACATTGGCTTCGCATTTTCTGGACAAGCCATTATTTCTCCCAAAAATCTACAGATATACCGATATGATTACTGAGCAAACATTTATTTGAAATCAAGAAATTTCATTGTCAGAGATAGGTTAAAAATTATTTGATACATTATTGTTTATTTCATGCAACTTTTACAAGACCAGTATTTAATATGATTATAGGTTGACAGAACCCTTGTTGCTTATATAATTATAGCTTTAAGCAGATGTTTTAACAATTATTTCACATAAAATGTAACTTCTGTTTTGTACGAAATTGGCAGCCTCAGCTATGTTGCATGTTTGTTGATTATATATATTAATTAAACCACTGAAGATAACTTTCTTGGTTTTAGGTATAACCATATGAAAGTCTCCAATAAAAATTGTTCTGCTAGCTTAACTTTCTATTTTGGCATATCTAGAAAATATATTAAGATTTGGATATCAGATTAAATTTTGTTACAATACATTATACCATATCATGTGAGCTTACAGTCATGCATTTTTCAATTTATATTGTAAGTTCAAGATAAAAAAAATTCTAAAACTGCTAGCTGTCTCAGCAGTTTCTTTGATGGTCAAATTGCTCAAAAATCAGATCTTTGTGGTTTTGTGTGCTTTGTTGGTCACATTCTAGATTGAATTACCATGGGTGTCAATTTTATTCTCTCATACTTAAAACAAATGCAGTGAGTTTTTAATTAAACTTTTAGTCTTTGAATCAACATACCAAAATGTCTGTAAATTTTTGTCATATTTATTATTTAGCTGATACTTAAGGGCTTGCATGAATAAATTATATTAGAAATACAAATGGATGTAGTTTAAATGCACACCTCCTCAAATAATTAGCTCAGTCTGAAATTTCACCAACTTATTTTTTTGTTTTAATGGCAAATGAGAATTGATTTTCAAACTATATATTCTACAAAAATGTAAGCTCACATGACTCAATTCGTTATTTTAATTTCAATTTTAGAAAATTTGTAAAATTCACTGTCCATGGAAAGAAAGCCTGTCTTTATAGACTTTAAATAATTGTCTTTAAGGAAGAAAAAAGAAGTTTTTGCGCTTTTACTTTGTCAATGTCAGGCTTTGAAAGTGTACAAGTCTTTGTTGCTCATTTAAATAACTCTCCCCCAACCCTTTCTTACATTAAATCCGTATAACATGTCCCTGGCTTTATTGAATGCAAATTTGCAAACTAATACGCAGTTACGCCCCTTTAAAATCTATGCCTTCATTAAATTTTGTAAACCTCAAGTTTCTTGATGAATTCTCACATTTGCCTTCACTTTTAACACTTCCTGTTAAAGGAACTCGTTTAATAGTCTTTGTGTTTTGTTGCTGTTTTAATTGTAGTGCTAGTGTTCTTATTTCATGCCCTCTCTTTCCGATTTTCAGGAGTAAATTGGAAAAATTCCGTGTGAATTCAGCCGGTTTTGACAACAGATATCGTCATAGAGACAACTTAAACCCTCACTGTGATCTTGCCTATGCTGTTGTTTACCCAGGAAAAGATAACTCTGATTATACCAATGATGAAAATAGAAACAATAGAATCATGAATAGAAATATTGAAAGTTATGAGATTTCTAGGAAAATTAACGGGCCTACTCATGAAAGCGATATTGATTCTTTCTTTGAGGTTTCTTCTGAATTGTAAAATATGTTCCTTCGCCCCCACCCATCCCTTTTTCGTATATTGAAGTGCTAATTCTACACAGTCACTGTTTGTCAGCAGGGTTTTCAATCCTGAACCTTTCGCTCATTTTACACATTTTATGTTGTTGTTGTTGATTTTTTATATGATTTGCATTATTTTTGCATAATTATGCAGTATTATTATATATACTATATAAGTGCTATGTACATACAAATGCTTGCTTTTCTTGACCAGTGCTTTGCTTTTGAAGCTAATTGTTGTATGTTTTGGACATTGTTTTGCAGGGAATTTTCGAAATATCCTCCTGAGCAAACCAATCGTAAGAAATTTGTCCGTCGCAAGAAGGAGGACGTCATTAGAAAACCTACTCCAGAATCTGTGAAAAAAATCCCTCGAGATCAGATTTATGGCATTCTCCATCCAAATCGATAAATAACATATCATGGCTAAATAACGTATCATGGACTTTCGGGAATTGTTGCTTTGCATACACCGCATCAGTATTACCTAATTATGATCTTCATAAATGTTGTTTTTGTGAAAAAAAATTGTAGTTTCTCAGTCGATGTGTATTTTTGTATTTTATCCAATTTGCTGGTGCTTCAGCATTTTTTGTGTGCAATGTTTTTTTTTGTTTGTGTATACCCCACCTCCATACTTAATAATTTAATGCTACTAAATGAATATCTCCCCCGAATATACAACACTTGCTCATGTTTTCTTTGGCTGCATTTTTCGCAAGGCTTTTGGGTTCAAACTCTTAAAGGTGTTTGCAATAGGGATTAATTGTATTTTTGTATTCTGTCTTAAATTTCACAAATGAATTTAAATTTGGTATTGGGACACTTTTTGCGCTAACATATATTTTTCGTTCTTTCTCTTTTCATCATGCAGTTATACATTTGTTGACCTTTAATGACCTTATTAGAATCATTTAAATAAAAACAACAATGTTTTCTATTATCAATTTCAGTCTTAATGAAAGAATTCACCATAGACGTTGCCGAGCCCAAAATGAAGGGGATGATCATGTTTTGCCCCTTATGAACCCTCCCGAGTACAATTTTACCGTGCCCGTTCATGAGCTACCTCCTCGAAAACCACACTTCAAAGTTTAACTGAGATTATAGTAGAAAATATGTAGAATTTTATCATTTATGTATATTTCTAAAAATAGACAATGTCATCATTGATCATATCATTTGTATATTAATAAATAACACTAATAATCTTAACTAATTTGGTAATAAAACATCTCATTGTAAATTATAAACAATTTTTCTTTTTGCACTTTCTGGAACACAATGAAAAAATTGTCACAATTTGTTTTCCCTCGTGAGCATTTTGCACGTATGCACAGTAAGTGTAAAATTAGAAAATAAACGTAAGTTAGTTTATAAAATAATATGTACATTTTTCAAATTATTTGATTTTTTCCCGGAATAAATATTGACAATTTTTTAAAGTGTACTAATTTACATCAGGCTAACCTACTACAAAATTGGACCAATGAGGGATCAGCGTCAGTACGACCACAGTAGAGATGGACCAATCGTTGACCGATCGAAATACAACTTAAGGCAGGAGTTTAACTTCCTTGGAAATAGCCTATCCATGTTGAAGAGCGATATTGTACCAGCTCACAAACCAACACCAATGTGTCGAAGATTTTAAATCTTTCAAAGCATGTCCCTCCTAAGACGATCTTTCGAGTAAAGTTTTATTAATAGTTTTTGTAAATCAAGATGAAGTAAATTCAACACGTCTTAAGAGCCTACTTAATGTTTGTTATGTATTAAAACCTTAAAATGGTATAATTATTGTTTACTTTACCATACAAGAAGATATGGTGATTGAGGGACTTTAAAATAAGTGTTTTACATTTTATCTAAATTTTCACTGTGATAATGTTGATAGGTGATATTTTTTTTTATACATTTTAATAATTTTATAGATTATGAAGATTTGACATTTGTTATTTTTATTTAAAGACAGTATAACTGTTGCATTTATTGTTAATTTGTTAGAATTTCTACAAACTTTGTTCCTTGTTCACATTCTATTTTACTACACGCTCTTACATTTGTTTTGTTGTTATCCCCCACTCTTTTACATTAGCCAGATCATTTGGTGACGGTTCAACTTTGTTGTTCATTTAATGTGTTTATGTTAGTCAAATAAACTTATCATTAACTAATTTTGCTTAGTTATATATATTTTTGTTGTTTCAAACAAATAACATAATAATTGAACTGATATTTGCAGTTTCAAAAATTATCAGTACAGAAAAATCGAAAGCTAAAAAAAAATTAAAAAATTATTTAAGAAGTGTGGTTTTCAAAGCAGATTGCGATTTAAACATTTTCAGAACTGATTTTACCCCCTTCACCTACACATGCCGAAAATGCAGCCAAAAATCTCTAAGCATTTGTTGTTTGTTGTAATTTCTTTTCTTGCACCACATTCAAGTCTTGTTGAATTTTACTTCGTTACTTTAGTTAAATATTTTAAAATAGTCATTGTTTTTATTTTTATAGAGATGATATAGTTTTGTATATTCATGGGATTTTGTTAGATGTTTCTGTTAAAGAGAAAGTACAAGAAATTTTGAAAATTTTCCATGTTGTTTTATACCTAGAAATGCACGTAGCTGTTGTCTAGTTGTTAAGATTAAGTTGATATGAAAATAACTGCCATTATTTATTAAATCAGTGAAGGCTTTTTATTTTGCGCAGCTTATTAATTTATTTTTTCTTCTCTTTTTTTCTTTATTAGCTAGGCTAAGAATAAAATGTAATAAAATCTGTGATAATAAAAATTTCTGCTGATTTACTGATTTGTTAAATAGTTAAATTATACATATTGTTTTACTTTTGGCAGAATTGTAATTTTTTATTTGAAATTAATTTTCAACTTAAGTTTTCTAAAGAGTAAAATTAATGCTTTGATAAGGTTACTAAAAGAATTGTTGAAGTAAAGAGGTTTCCTTTTAAACATCATGATGTAACCACTTAAAATATTACTTTTACGGTTTTACCAAATCCTAAATGCAAAATTATTGTACATTCATTATTCTAAATGAATTACAATCATTTTGCACCAATCTCTTAATAATTTTTCTGTTTTTTCTTCTTAATTTATAACAAAATAACTGTTCATAACATAAACTAATGATTAATTTTAGAATAACAAGTTTTGTTTTTGTAATATTTTGTATGTTTATGTTTCATGTAAAGAGATGTTACCGATTATGTATTGTTTGACTTTTTATCAGTATTATTCAAATTTGTGATTTTAAAAAAATAATTGTTTTACTTAAGAAAAATAAACAAAGAGCACAAGAATTGCTTAGTTAATCTCTTGTTTTAACTCCCTTTACCATATATGCAAGTACTTCAGATACTGATAAATCCTCTAAACTTTCATCGAAATATCATTTAATTAGTGCTATAAACCAATTAGTCCAGACACTTAAAAAAAAAAATTAAACTCAATGAAGGGCCATAACTCCGACAAAAATCATTGAATTGGAAAATGCAGACAATTTGTACAACTACACTTGCCACTGATCATTCCTGTAAAGTATAAATGAAGATGCACCAGAAGTTTTTGAGAATTCAAAAAGTTTTGTGCCACATGAATGGAACAGATGACAGAGAAGTGATCCCTATATTTCGCCACTACTCAGTAGCAGGCAACGCAAAAAAAAACAGCTTGTTAATTTATATTCCCACTGCTGCACGTATATAAATAGGTTAAAAATGCACAAATATTTAAAATTCATGTAGCACTGTATATGCTACATTGTATTTGCAAAATCAGGCCAGAATTTGTTATCTGATGCCTACTGGAAAATTTATTATTTTGACATAAGATACATTTGTAAATTTATGTGAATTGAACATTCCTTTTTCTGACTCGTCCACCTGACAGAACTTGTACAAGTTACTTACTTTTAAAAAAAAAGAAATATGATAAAACTGGATTCATGCTCTTTTGTTGGGACAATAGCAACATCTGTATGGAATATTCCAAGGAAAATTGTTGTGGCCCAAAAGGAATATCAATATACCTTAATGATCAACAATATACCTAAATGACCAATGCTGACTTAATTCATTTTATACCAGGTTTTTGTAAATTTGCACATTTTCCACATTTCACTGGTAAATTAAGTTGGTACCTGGTAATTAAGTACCACATGATAAATGTCCCTAAAGAAATTTAAGTGGTGTCGGTAATATGAAATGAAGTTTGGAAAAAGTTGTCAATAAAATCAACTTGTATCTAATATTAGCAGAAAACAGTTGCTTTTATTATGTTGGGATTTCATTCACACATACACTGTAAAGGTCATAATTATTGCAACTTTCAAGCTTTATTGGAGAAGAAAGACCTATGATGCCCCTTTGAGTCTTATTTCATGCATGAGCTGGCAACTGAATAGGCTAGTTGCATCTGACTCTCATTGGATATGCTAATAGCTATGATTCGCAATTTCAATTATTAACCCTTTCAGTGATACAGACAACAATATCAGCAAGTTTTTACAAGTATACAGCCAGGTCATCAGCTTTACACCACAGTAAATCCACAAATTCAAAGCAGGGCAAGTCAATATAACAAATTCCGAGGAGGGCAAGTCCATTTAAATAATTCAAAGCAGGGCAAGTCAGTTTAACAAACTCAGTGCAGGGCAAGTCTATTAAACAAATTCAAGGCAGTGCAAGATCATTAAACAAATTCAAAGCAGGGCATGACCCATTAAATAAATTCAAGGCAGGGCAAGTCCATTTAACAAATTCAGCCTGATGAGTTAACATAAGATGGAGAAAAACTTTATACTTTACTTGTATTACATAAAAGGCCATATAGTTTGGATGAGTAACACTGACTTTTATTGCCTACAAAACAAGTATTTATCAAATAAATTATTAATGTTTATCTGAGAAAATTTATAAATAATTCAAAAAGACAAATTAGATTGTTTAGCTGATAGACAACCTAACAGCATTTCTCAATATTGACTAAATCCACGGTTATTATTTATGTGACCTTGACATTTACGTAATAAAGATCACGCAGAAGATAACCTTTCAGTTAACATCGTCTGCTGAAACCATTCTTACAGTACATACATGTACATGTATCTATATGTAAACAAACAACTCTGTATTATTTCAAATAGTCTTTTATTAACAAAAAATTAACAATAATAAATAATACATGGCAAAATTAGTTATCATAATTATCTTGTAAAAATTTACTTCATAGTTTA